GAGACCTGTCTTCAAGTTAGCGAAAAATCTCCAACCTAATTAAAAAAATAAACTGAATTTCATATATTATCATGTGATTTTTGATGTTCTTTACCCGGTATTGCATAGAATCTTATTTTTAGGAAATTTAAATAATGGAACATTATTTAGAGGGAAAAAAAAGTTGGAAGGCTCTTTCTCTATCTCTCTTTCTCTCTCTCTCTCTCTGTAAGCAATATCTTAGCAGACATTTGTAACTAAGGTCTGTCATGATCATTTAATTTGACTAATACAACCATTCCTTCCACAACACATCAAGAATAGAAGTAATATTTTTGAATGTTGAGTATTGTTGCTTGATAGTATCATACCATCATAATAACATCAACTTACCAAATGTTCTGGTGTATCCTGTGGTGTCATTGATGTAGGTAAAATAGTATGATTATCAAATATAGAATTGTATTAAACCACCACCAGTACCCAAATATATATGTATATCTAATCTACAATCAGGCATGTACAGAATTAGTCTCAAAAGATGTAGGTTTTTTATCCCTTTTTCATTGCAACATTTGTATGTAAGTAGTTGTATAATGTGATTGTTAGAAGAGGCATTCACTTGTCTGAAATGAAAAAACTTAAATCACTGGATCAGATACAATCAGTAGAGACTGCAGTGAACGACCTCTGACCATCTACAGCACCACAGCTTATGGCCACTAGAGGGCGTATCATACATTATTACATGCTAATTTTAAACATGCATGAGGTTTCACCAGTGAATCCTATTTACTATATCAGAAGTGTAGAAAACTTATACCAGTATTAAACTGAAAGTACTCCCATGTGTTAATTAATTGCTAAATATGCAAATTAATTATTATTGTCTAATTCAAAATTATCATTAAAAACCTTCCCAACAAAATATATTTATTTTCAGTCCAGTGATGTATATTGATGTTTTTTGTATGCATTGGTATAGTATGTTATTAGTATGCAAATTAGCTAATTAAACTGCATAGACTACGGTATTGTAATAATTATCAGTCATTTACAGCACAAACAGCATGCAAGTACTTACAATATCGTACCAACTTAATGCCCAGGGTACTCAGCTCACAAAATCATGTTTTTTAAGGGGGTGGGCTTTTAGTCTGGCATGCCACATGAAAAATTGGCCATAAGACAATTGTGCCAGATTAGGGGGAATAGTACTTTTTTGGTGGAATTAAAATTGCAAAAGGAGTTGCATCAAAACTGAAATTATCACAAAACATTTGCACATTTTGTTACAATATTATTTACAAACCATCAGAATTTATGGTGTAAAATTAACAGGGTCTGTGGGAAAACAGTCACAAGAATCATCACTATCTTTGTTAAATCTTTTCGATTATACACAAACACATGTACGCAAACCTAAAAAAAAAAGCTGTGATTCGCACATTTTTAAAATAGAATTACTCTTTTTCTGGAACTCTGTTACATGCAAAGTGTAGAAAGAGTACATGTACAGATTTTGTAATAGATTAGTTAGTGATGTGATTAAGCTAGAATGCAGGAAAACAAGATGCAAAGTTGATCATCACTAGCGCCATACCCTCCCAAGCAGTAAAAGAAACATACTACTGAGAAAACACAGGTACAAAACATTTACCACTTACTGGGTGCCTTAGTGTAGTGGTTATTTACTGCACTTTTGTCACTGAAGAAACTTAAATAAAACTCAGTGGATAATACCTACAAAAACTGAACCAATTTTTCATTCAAACAACTTTTTCATTTGAATATCTGTTTCATCAATTTCATTTCACATTTAAATAAATCATTTCTTTTATTTTTCATTTTTTTTTTATTTAAATTCTCCTAAATAAAATATATTTTCAGATTCAAATTTGTTATTTGTATTTCTCAGTAGCATTTTACCTCAAACCCCAAACAAGGCAGAGGAGAAGGAACTAAGCTTCACTTACCGCTAGCTCTACTAACCCTTCTTGCTTTAAATGATGCATTGGTAATAGCAGCTCTTGTAAAAGTAGGTGTAGATGGTGTCAGAGCAATACTGATTCCTATTGGTCCATCAGCTGGCTGGCCAGATGGATTACTGCTTAATGAATTCTTAATAGCACTGGTCACCTGAAAGTAGACAGCCAATCAGAATACAGACATTTTATCTGGCTAAAAACAGGAATGTTTTCACAAGTACAGTTTCTAATAATTGGCACAAAAGAACTGCAAATGGCAGACGTCCAGGCATTTTCACTGCTTGGCAACCATCAAGGTGAAAACAAAGACAGAAAACTCTCAGAAAACTGTACTTTGGAATAGTTTCTGAGAATCTCCTGAACAGCGTGATAAGATCACCCCTACATGTGCAACATGGTTACGCATGATAATTTCAAAGTTCAGTTTGTGCTGTTTTCTCGACTTTAGCCTTTTCACCGGCTTTTTGACCAGCACTCCACAGCAGCTCGCACAGAGCGTATAGATATACAAGGTACAGTGTTGTGCCTTTTAGCAACGTAGAATGATCTGTGAAGTAGCTCTGCCCCTGAGAATTCTATGGTTCTATTATTGTTCTTCCGTTCACTGGTTGGTCGTAACTATATACACTGATACAAGCTTAACAGTTCAAAATATAAACAATTCTCACAGCCAGCACAGCTCACAATCCTAACTAATTTATTTTCACAATAAACTTTTAACTATCACCAAGCATGAATTGAAGTATTATTTACTTATGTAACTAATATGAGACATCTTTAGACAGATTATCATAATATCTGTTATCATGAAACATGCCTGCATTAAACACTTATTAGAAGCCACATCCTTATAGAAGCAGCACCCATTTATTTGAGAACCCACAAATTCACCATTTCTCATACATTGTATATGTAGCTGTTCTAACAGACCCTGTGTTTCATTGTACCAATTAAATTAGAAGTCAAGACTTCTTTAAACTTAGAGTGTCATATTTTTTCCAGCTCAAGATTTGTTCACATTTTCCGTAATTGTCACTGAATTCAATGTTAATATTGGACCAAAAATGCGACAAAACTTCTGCTTTTTGATAAAAAAAAAATTTGCAATATTTTATGTGGAAAAGAACTATTTTGTGGATGATGCCTTAAGTTGACTTTGGCACAAAAAGGGCTATGTCTGCTTCAACTAGCTAAATTTTAAGTTACACTCAGACCATACTGAGAACGAACAATGTCTTTTACACACATTGAAATATGTACGTTGAGTACATTGAGCATTGAGTGTGACGAAAACAGAATATGAAGTGAGAAGGCAGTTTTCCCACTAAGCCTCATATTCATGAAAATTTTTTAGTCCGGTGTCTAGCAGGTTTCTCAGTGAAATTGATCACTCTGAGAAATTATCTTCTTATTTTCATACACTTTGTTTTTAAATACTGTAGAATACTTTATTTTCGCTATTTTCGCTGAAGGGATGTTTCCGTGACAATAAAATCCAGCGAATATACTTTTTTTCCTATATTCCACATTAAACTCATCAAAAATCAGTGAAAATAAATTCCACACAAAATGCCCGAAAAGCATTTTCAGCGAAAATTTATTCCAGCGAAAATAAAGTATTCCACAGTACACCTCATTCAAGGTGTTTTGTGATGAACTCACAACATTACTCAGCAATGCAGAATTTGCTGAGGGAGTACTGCAAAAACTGTATTTAATAGTAGCCATGGCTTCTATTAAAATGGTACAATGCAAAAAAGGGGATGCGGCTTCTATTACGGTAGAGCATCTACACATATGAGAAATAGTGAATTTTTGGTTCTCAATTGTTCAAAAAGAATGGGTGTGACTTCTATCAGATACAGCTTCTAATACAGATTTGACAGAACATTGCTCACATGTGAAATGAAAAAAAAGCCCCCTAACACATAATGTATGAAGCCCTCTAACATCATGCAAATTATTACTAACCAGAATAACTTCTGAGAGCAGTTGCTGGCATGCTACATAATGTATGTTTTCTAATGCTTCCCGTCCAGATTTCTGATGGCCATTGAACCTGCATAGAAAATAATCCAAATAAACAAACAAATAAGACATGCCATATGGTTTGGTATTATTGATAAAAACCTGACTATGAATTGACTTCCACAAAGAGTGCAACAGACCGAACATGCTGATTTATTTTGCATAATATTAAAATAGCGTTATCTTCAGTTTTGTTATTTAGTACCCTATAACTAAAATATCTGTGGGTGACCATAAAAATGTTTGGAGAATATACATGTAGTGTTTTATTGCTGTATTATGACCTTTGACATAGTCTTGTCTTGTAATCAATTATGCAGGCATGCTCAGTAGCACCTAGCAACCAGGAGTTCAGTCATCATTCTTATATTCATGTGAATTTTATAGGTACCTATCATAACTAAATATGCAACTCCATGAAAGCCAATGTATATGAGGAAGTGCTCTTATTATAGCTGCCAACGATTTTCAATAATCAGCAGAAATATTAATCCATCAATATCTCTGTTTGACACAGACTTATTTATATTATATTATATTACTGTTTGTTTGGTACACCAGGCCAGCACTATCGTCAACAAATTATAAAACAACTTGCATTGAATATTTGTTGGGAAATTGTATGTACCTCACAAACTCCATCTGACTGACACTGTCAATGTGTACATGAAAATCTGACTAAACCTGGCAATACCAATATGTATCCTATTGTTCTTTAAAAAATTAATTTTACTACGGCAATATTTTTTCCAACCTTTTGAAATGAGTTATACAGTAATACATGCTTGTCTGAACTTACATGACATAATAAACACCAGTCAGCATTTCAATCATAAATTCAGGACTAAGATGAACCCTGGGTTGGTACTCTGGATAACCATTAGTTAATAGACTAGTAGAATCAGATAATGTACTGGTTGATAATGAACCATTAGTCTGTGGTGTTAATGATTGCTTAGTGTACCCTGTGGTGCATAAACTAGAACAGACAACAAGAAATAGAGAATTGGTTAAAAAACTGGAGATTAACTCTTAAAATTGGAGATAAAATTCATTCATTTATTTATTCATTCATTCATTCATGCATTTATTCATTTTCATTCATTCATTTTCATTCATTCATTCATTCATTCATGCATTCATTCATTAGTTTGATGTGTTGATGATTGCATAGTGTACCCTGTGGTGCATAAACTAGAATAGACAACAAGAACTGGAGAATTGGTTAAATAACTGAAGATTAACTCTTAAAATCGATGATAAATTCCATTCATTCATTCATATATTCACTTTTATTTATTTATTTATTTATTTATTTATTTATTTATTTATTTATTTATTTATTTATTTATTTATTTATTTATTTATTTATTTATTTATTTATTTATTTATTTATTTATTTATTCATTCATTCATTCATTCATTCAGACTGAAGACATAAAAGAAAGAAACCATCATCTAGCATCTTTTTGTGATGAAGATGTATGAATATGCACAGAGTACAGCACAAGCAGTTCATACTGCTATTTTTATTACATTACTGATGTATTGCAACATGTATTGTTGCCTAGCAACTTAGAAACCTGTTATGCAAGTTGATTAATTTTGTTGGCATAGTATAGGCAAGGTAAAACTACTTACTGTGAACACATTTTACATAATATTTCATGTGAAGTACCTTTCATACAAGCTATACCAGTATTATATATATACAAGACATGACTAAGAATTGAAAATCTGAAATTAAAAAAAAATAAATAGGACAACAAGTCAGTCAGTAATCAGAAATTTTTTTAAACAAGGGAACAGGGGTGCTGCGCTCTCATGCCATGGCCATGCGCCCCCTTACTCTGACGAGCAGATTCTCAAGCAACCATAAAATTCTGATTGATCCGGGTTTACATGTGGCCACAGTCTTCAACTGTCTGATAGTAATTTTGGCCCTAAGGAAGCCATAGAACGCTCCATTTTAAATTAGAATTATAAAAAACTCCACACCCTGGTAGGGAGAACCCTATCTCGCCCACTTGGTGGCGCCACTGAATTACAGTGCTTCCTCTTGCATTTTTTTTTCTAGAAAAACCCCTGGTAATAACAGCTCATTATCATAACATAATGTAAACTGATCAATTGATTGCAAGACCAAATCAGCGAAAACCAAAAAAATTTGATGCAGTGAAAATATCTTCTACTGTAAAATACTTTATTTTAGCTGGAATTAATTTTCGCTGAAAAGACTTTTGGGGTGTTTTGTATGGAATTTATTTTCACTAATTTTTGACAAATTGAATGTAAAATACAGGAAAAATGTATATTTGCTGGATTTTATTTTCACTTAATCATTCCTTCAGCAAAAATTAATTCCAAGCGAGAATAAAATATTTTACAGCTTGACTTTCACAAAAAACATTTGTAGCAGTTAAAATTAAACGGTTTACAGTAGCATACCCCTTTCACATAAGTCACGATAAACACAGTATTCTTGAATAGGTGTCAATGATTACTATACTTTGAATTTGGGTCTCAATTAGGTGCCAGGACAGATTAATTGAAACATTTCAAAAATGAAGCCTAAATTACGATATTTACAACATATATTAGTAGTCTCACCTGTTTTGTGCTGTAATTATTTTTTCTTGAGGGAAAGGTCCACTTTTTATTAACTGTGTTTCTTTTTTTTGGTGTGACGATAGAGCACTCTCTGTCAATGCCACAGATGACAAATGTACAGGCTGAAAATTTAAAACATATCGTACATGTACATGAATGCTGTTTACAGTATCTTCACTGAGAAAGTCAAATATATAACATATACTGTAAAATACTTTATTTTCGCTTTTTTCCTATATTTTAGATTCAACTCATCTAAAATCAGTGAAAATAAATTTCATACTAAATACCCAAAAAGTCTTTTCAGCGAAAATTAATTCTAGTGAAAATAAATTATTTCACAGTATTGTATTTTTATGGAACAATTGTGCAACTTGAGGTACATCACTGCACAATTTGTGCATGAAAGTGGCTTAGAAAGAACTCTGGTATGTTGTGAAGTGATTATATGTGCGAAAAGACTGTCTAAGTGTATGGATTTATAAGATGATGGTATGCATGAATTTTGGGATGATCACAAAATTTCAAACATACTTGTGTTTGTGAAAGAACTGATTAATGATCATAATGATCATATCAGGCTGGTTTTTTCTGTGTCCTTGTTTATTCACAAAGCATGTAGATGTAATGAAACATACTTTGAGTTTTTGACTATGGCGATAATCTCCTCCATTTCTTGTTCAAACAATAAAGCACCCACTGTATTCTGTAAATTCTGTTGTTTGATTGACATGAACATGGAATGGAATCTCCATCACATATAACGTACAAAGGTGCATATCATGATCTCATTTTGGATTCCAAATTATTTCAGTAACACGATTTAGCATAAATTGTTTTTGTATGTAGTGCACTTACCTCATGATAAATAGATGGTTTAGCTAATGTGGGAATAATACAGGTTTTTACTTTTTGACGTCCATCAACTTCAACCACATCCTGATAAATAAATAATTAATGCAAGATGATAATGGAAGATGATGGAATTACAATATACAGTATGTTTTTCGAGCAGTCATTTTCAAAATATTGTGGCGTTCTACACTGGGAAAATAAATTTGTTTAAAAATAAAAAAAATTAGGTAAGATGCAAAAGTGTTAAAATATGTTAATGCAATTATGACAGGATGATGGAATTACAATGAACAGTATGTTTTTTGAGCAGCCTGTCATTTTAAAAATATTGTGGCGTTCTATACTGGGAAAATAAATTTGTTTAAAAATAAAAAAAAATAGGTAAGATGAAAAAAGTGTTAAAATATGTTAATGTAATTATGACTGGATGATGATGCAATTACAATACACAGTACGTTTTTAGAGCAGTCTGTCATTTTCACATTCATACACACATTTATTGCATCAGAATTTCGTATTTATCACATCAGGTCACATTCATCATGCTTCCACCATGATTGCATTGTATATTTGTGTTGTACATTTTAGCCAATGTAAACTTACTCTGGGTAAAACATAAACACTGTTGCCTATCTTCTATAAATGCCAATGTCTAGGAATTTATTTTTGGAAGACTGATATAATAAAATTTGAAATTACCATGTTTGAAAATATGTGATGCAAGCATGATGAGTTGGGGGGGGGGGGGCAAATGCAATAAAATGTGTACATGAAATATTTGAATTTGAACTCCTAAGGTTCTGGTATACATGTAGTATAGAAAGTCAAAAAGTATTACTTACCAAATTATATATTCCTAAAAGTAATGCTTCTAGACGATCCAAGGACTAAAATGAATAATATTGATAAATTAGTAAGGTTGCGTACAATGATCTAAGCATGTACAGAACTACAATCATGGACTATGCTGCATTTCAATGTACGCACAAGGAAGCCATATTAAAGTACTGTGGAATACTTTATTTTCGCTGGAATTAATTTTCGCTGAAAAGGCTTTTTGGGTGTTTTGCTTGGAATTTATTTTCACTGATTTTTCATGAGTTTAATGTGAAATATAGGAAAAAAAGTATATTCGCTGGATTTTATTTTCACAGAATCATCCCTTCAGCTAAAATAGCGAAAATAAATTCCAAGTGAAGATAAAGTATTCTACAGGATGTCTACATATGCTTCAGTTGTTAACAATCAGCATGCTTCTATCATGTTTGGAGGGAACCAATCATACAGCTTGTACCATAGACTGTTTGAGTGACTTCACAACAGAACTCCTTCAGAAGTACACTTGTTAGCATCAATGTGCTTTTACTTAAAAAACACCTTTAACCTTTTCATAACCAGAATTTCTCGTCCAAATTTGTTGGTACTATTTTTTTTATATTCTTCAATATTTCTGGAAATGAACCTGAATTTTGGAGCCACCAGCATAAGTTTGAGTCAATTTTCTGTTTTCCCTAAACAAATTTGTTTTGTTTTTTCCCAATCTTCTGAAGGAAAGTGCAGTCTATAAACTGGACTATTATGTGAATTTGTTATGAAAAGAGGGAACTGATGATGAAAAGGTGAAAAGGTTAAAAGAATATAGATATATTTTTAGAGACAAAAACATACAGATGAGCTGCAGATTGAATATCTTTTAACTCATGAATATTCAAATCATAACTCCCAAATATAGCCATTCACTCCTGAATATTCAAATTATAGTTTCCTAATACAAGTATTTATTTATGAATATTGAAATCATAGTTTTAAAATATAGGCAATGTAGTGATATTTGCCACAGTATGTCAAAAGAGGGATATGGTCGTGCATAAAACAAATTGAAAAATAAAGAATTAAAATAAATTTGTATCTTACTTTGTTTTTATTTGATGGTGTGAGGTAATAGTAGAGAATACTTGGAATATATTGCAAGCAGAAACGTCTGCACTCAGAGTCACCACTACGATAAAACTCAAATAGCTGTCCACAGATGCTGTCTCGGAGCTAAAAATGATAAAGCAATACTCATTAAAGTCACTTTCTTTTATGTACTAATTCACTGGCATGTGAATCATAAAATCAAATATTGATAAAGTTATCTTGAAAAATATCTTACTATAGTTATAGAATTGGTAATCTGGTAAAATAAAATTCACATTTTATTTGTGCGCATACAATTTTATTTTATTTTTTGAAGTCTTATCGTAAAATCTGTATTAGAAGCCCCATCCCTGATAGAAGCTGCACTCATTCTTTTTGAACAATTGAAACCCAAAAATTCATTATTTCTCATATGTGCAGATGCTCTAATAGAAGCCGCATCCTCTCTGTTGCATTGTACCATTTTAACAGAAGCAGCGGCTTCTAATACAGATTTTACAGTACTTCCACAGCAATTGATTCTGAGGGTTTTCCATTTTGACTTAGGATTCCGACAAAATCAGTCCTGCTAGAGGGTAGACACGTGTGAAATCAAACTTAAATACAAGACAAATAAATGTCATATCATCGTAGTAGCGACGGGGTTTGACAAACATGAAATTGTTTTTTGGTATTTCTATTAATAATAATATACACATTTTATGATGGTCAATTTTGATAAGTAAATGTATATCAACGACATATTCCTCTCTGAAAGATAGGAATTTCGACATCAAACTATAAAAAAAATTCTTTGATTTTTGAAGTACACGTTTGATCTGGCAGTGAATTGGAAGTCTGTAAGACCCTTTTTATCCTTTCCTAAGAATTTTATGCGTCTAATAAAATATATATCCCAAGGTTTTTGTTAGATTTTTCTTATTGAGCTAGTTATTCAAATCTGAGACTAGTATATAGTTATATGAATGCATTCAATTCAGTTAAAATAGTTTGACGTGGACACATTAACCTTACCTCGTTATCAGGTTGCTGAAATACCCCATATATTGCTTCAGTAATTTCTTTTTGTTCTTTTAACATTCTTCCATAAGATGACAATTCAGCTCTTGATAAAGACTGGGGGAAATAAATTTGTTTTAAAAAGAAAAAAAATTAAGTAAGATGCATACCAAGGTTAAGTTACATTGTCATTTTCCGAATATGTAAAACATGATTCCCAGATGAAGCTAAAAACATAAAACGTGTTCAAATGATTTTGTTTCAGCTAAACAAAATTAGAAATACTGAAAGTGAATACCTTGTTCTTAAATTCTGACAACAAACTGTAAACACACATTTTAACCAGAAACATATTGTTTTTTTTTTGGTCTTATAATTCTACCTTTGACAAAATCCAGTAGAGATTGCCAATTTAATAGTTGGTAGTTTACCTTGCATTCAGCAATCCATTCCTGCAGCATTCTTTGTTCCATTGTAGCCATTATTACAGACGTTTAATGAAACATACAGTAGTACAGAACTGAATTACAATTACATAATCCTGAAAAATTCAAATACTGACAGCATCAGAATGTACAACCCTTCAAATTTGTGAAATATTATATGCTCTAAAAGTAAACACAACTATCACGCAATTTTTGAAATATATACTAGTATTTATTTTATGAAAACTATTGAATTACAGTGTACAGTAGTTATAACAATTACGGCATTTTCCAAGGTTACCTGTAAATGGGTTAGTTCGATTTAGACATAGATTTTTCTTATTGAACGAGTTGTGATTTACTTTTCCCATTGAATCCCATGTATTAAAGCAACATTTTCTGCGATTATGAACATTTTTTTTCGTTAACCACATAAAGAAGACTAAATCTTACCAAAATATTTCTTTAGACACAACTGCATGAGCAAAGTGAGCCTACACAAAGCTAATGTCACATGAAATGCGATATGAAAACTAAGGGTCAAATAGTCACCGTTTCATTGAAATTAGTCATATGATGGAATTGTAGAAAATTGTGATGCACAATACACATTATTATGGGAAATAACACATCAAATCTTGAGTGAAAGGCAGCCAGAGCGAGTGTTAGCCCCTAAAGATAGCAACATATTTGATATTTCATCCAGGACCCCTGATAAAGTTGTCATATCATAAAAAATCAGAGAAAAAAAATTGATAGTTATAGCTATTGCCACTTTATATCACGTTTATTCCAAAAATCATTAAAGTATTTTAATAATATTTAGCACCGTTTTGTTGACTGCACAAAATAAACTAAAACAAAAAATGATGATGCTAAAATCCAAATCGATTCAGATCAAAACATTCCTAAACAATGTAAAGAAATATCTGCCTAATACAAACAAATTTGAATGAATAAACTTTATTTATAACAACTAGTGTTTCACTCACATTTTTTTATGTGAAAGCCCCAAAGCCTCAACACCAAACTTGAGAAGTATTAGTCCACATAATTTAGCGGTCAAGAATTGTCATTTTTCCTGATTGTTGTATACACAACCCCATACTATGTTCTAAATAAAATATCCTATCTACACTGATATTCCGCAGTGACCAGCAACCCATCATAAAACACCAAAATAAGGGTCAACATACTACAATCTGACAAAAATATGTGTTAAAAATTCAATTTTCAATTAATTCTAAAATTTCACAGAATTGTGCGGTAAAAAATTATTCACACCCACGGTAATTTATATGGGAAAATCTATGGTAGGTGTGTGTATGTGGGCGTGCATGACCACCTATGGATGCCAATCAGAACAAGGTACACTATTAAACAGTAGTTCTGCAGCTCTCTTAATTGGTTTCGTCTGCTTTTTATTGCAGGTAGGGTTATTTCAATCGTCGTGAGTTGATTGCGAAACTAGAGATCCCAAGAAATAACCATACCTGCGATAAACACAAGACTACAGCGAATCCAGGACAGTCACAGAACAGCAACGTTCACACTAACAAACCCATAATGTTTCGAGAGAAATGTTCAACGTTACATGTATTAATTTCGTTAGTTATACATATTGAATAACTGTCACTGTGTCGCAGTAGACAAACTGAACACATTTACATAATTATACTTACGTAAAATACCCCAAAATTAATTTATTTTTAATGAAGTAATAATGGTCGGTTGGTCACTAGACGTCTATTTGGTGAAATTTTAAAATCGAAGTTCAGTGGACATGATTTTATGAGGAAATTGTTTTCATATCACTTGCAATAGTTATTTCATGTAAAATGGTGTTCCAGTGTCCCTGTACGACAAGAAGAAATATGAAGCAATATTTTACCGTATAAATTGGTCCGTTTATGGCATTATTTCCGGGGTCGATGTGATTCCAGTCTAAATCCGATCCGTCCGAGGTGTACATGCGCAAAGGAATGCGAATTGTGAATTAATTGCTCATGAGTATTCCATTTGAGCATAGGGGTGTTGGAAATGATGTGACTTTTCTGAAATATTAGGTAAAACTGACTTGTTACATATCTTGACAACAGAGTAATGTTTAATATATTTTCAAAAAGTTATGTAGAATGTTTTGACACAATAATGCAATATTTGTAAAACAGTGTACATGTGACACCTTTGATAATGGTACATTCAAAATGGCGACGTTCACCCGAGGTAAGTGTGGATTTTTCGGCTTTCCGCAGTTTTACCCAGTTTCTGTAATGATCACGCTGTTTGTAATTGTCTTAAGCGAGAGTCATTTTCATGACACATGGTATTATCGAGCAATAATTATGACACCATTGATACGGGTCTACAATAATGTACATGTCCATCATCTCGATCGATATGTACATACTTACTGTCGCCGAATGCACAGGGTCCTGTGGCCGAATGAATTAAACCACAATGCCTCTACTGTGACTTTAAGTCGTGTATAACTTTGAACCAGTCACCATTTGTGCGTACTCTCAGTCGAATTTCGCATACGGACGTGACTGTAATTTGCTAGATTCTATTTTTAATTTTTTTATTTTACAAAACTTGTGTATGACTGATGGAAAGCGCCCTCTCCCAACCCCAAAAATACATTACCTAGCTTTGAAGCCATAGCAAATCTTGTCTCGGTCTTTAGTCTTTGTGATGGTATTTTAATCATTTCTGATTCATTTGGTGCCCTTACAGTTGCTATTTTGGATATTAGGATTTTATCATAAAAAATAGCTGACCATTACCAAGATGTTGGAACTTACTGAATTTTGTACTCCCTAAAAAAAAAATTTGGTGCCACGGGTTGCATTGTTGTTATACACCATTATTATAAATTGCACCCCTTTCTGAAGGTGAACTTCTATGAAACATGTTTTATTTGACACTAAATAATATATTTTGTTACATTATCTGTGGTCAAAAGACATTGAATATAATAAAACACAAGTACACACACAAGACAAAAGAAAATACATAATATATAATTAAATAAAAAAACATAATTTTTACTGATGGGCAATTAACAACAGATCAAAAAGATATTGACAATTTGATATCAGAGAAGTGCATTGTCACTATAGAATGCAGTTTATAGGAAAGGTATGTAGAAGGGATTTCTACAATCAACAAAGATGTTGCCATCATTTACTTTGGAGATACCAGGGTAATGTCCCGTTATAATGACAGGGGTAAAACAAATTAAAAAAAATTTCTGTAATTTAGACATTTTCTAAAAGTTGCTAAGCATGCTACTCTACCAACCTTATATATCATCTGAAAGCTTACTAATAGGTGTTATATTTGGAATATTCATTGTGTTGCAAAAAGCATTTGATACCGAAATTTTAGCACTGCTACATCAACATTACTACTGTAAAATGATTAATTTTCACTGAGTTTAAATTTCGCTGATTCAGCATCTTGGGCATATTCATTGGGTTTTAAATTCATGGTTTTGTAATTTAGATAATGTGTTCTATGCTAAATTTTACATGTTCACTGGGTTTTAATTTGGCTCATTTTCCAGTAAGCGAAATGAGCAAAATTAAAACCCATAATTAACCATTTTACAGTATTAGTTTGTTGTGTTTTCAGTTCCCTTGTGGACAACACCATGGGCCATTGTTAGACATAAAATGAAAACTGTGAATACAAGAACCAAAAGACCGATGTCTATAGTGAAAGCCAAGATGTTAGCAGCTACACAGTATCGACCGATGAAAGACAACATCTCATTAGCCGAGAGATGTGCGATAAGTATAAAAACAAAAGAAGTAGTCGAGGAAAAGGTGTGCAACTGTTAGCTACAACAAACTGTGTTGTTTTTGTAAATGGTTTATCCCTATTGGACACCATATATGTAATTCATTATCACTATTCACAAAATAAATTTGCAAAATATTTTGAAATAATTTTGATTGCATGGATTGCCGGTCACCAGCCATATGGCCCGCTACAATCCCAAATTGATAGTCTACATTATGCCCCAACCACCAACACCGTTCTCGCTGCAGCACTTCGCACTGCAGAGAGTCTTTTTATTTTTTGGCCTGTTTTTACAAAATGATGGCCTGCTATTAAATGCATTTGTGAAACCCCTGATCTATGTATACCTTGGTCAATAGAAAATATTATATTACTGTCATCGTCATATTTGTCCCAAACAGCAATATTGTCAGTTAAGTTGCTGACTGGTTTGCTATGCACACTTGGAGATCGTTACGTGATTAGAACAAGTTAGGTCAAACCAACCTGAACAGGGGATGTCAAACATATAGTGAGGAACTCGCATGTTGAATATAAATAGAAGATATCGATGCAATTGCTTCAATTGTATAAATTTATATACAATAAATGGCAAAGTTATCCAAACAAAATGTATGTACTGACACAGTATGAAATGTGAGGACACAGGCAAAGGTGTGTCTGGTGCACTCGTAAATAAGTGCATTTAGCCGAATGTCACACCCTCGTAAAAATGGTTTGAACTAACCAGTTCTAATCATGTAACAATCTTGGGACACGCAGAGCAAACCAGTCAGCAACTTAGCTGGCAATGTTGCTGTTCTGGTTTTCATAACAATATGGCAGTGACAGTAAACGTTGATTGGAAAATATTATGCAGACCCAATTAGTTTCCGGTAAATATTTGTGCATATTAATCACCTAATTTGCATAATTAACCAACTTTCACACTGATATCTCAGGTACTATACATCACATATCAATGAATGTACATGGATGCTGTAGACAATAGACAGACCTGAATAATTGTGGGTTAAAATCTGTACATATTAATTACCTAATTTGCATAATTAACCAATTTTAAGCTTTTACACTGATATCTAAAGTACCGTAAAAACTCCAAAATTTCGACGGGTTTAAATAATTGGTGTTAAATATGTGACGTGTTTTTAGAGTCAA